AATAAACAAACTTTCTCTTACCAAAACAAATAATATATTACATGATAATTTGCAAACATGTTCGGATCAAACCAAAGAAAAATTACGTCTCAATTTATCAAATAATTTGAACGGAAATTTGATTAATTGTCAAGAAAATATGGACATTGAACAAATTATTCCATAACCGATGCCTCGAAAAAGCGTGAAAATTCATATAAAAAATCCAACTAAGCAGACCCGGACCTCATCAGAAAACTCACTTTTGAACGATTCTTCTTCTTGTTTAGATAATTTTCATCCTGTGTCGATTTCACACAACCAACCACCATCGACCTCCAAACAAGGATCAAAAGTCATGAGCTTTGAAGAATGGATCAAGGTTAAGTACAGAAAACATAAAGCAAATAAACCTGCAGAGTATTGGTTAAACCCTACATTAATCAGCAATTCCTTTGAAATTTTAAATGAAGTTCAAGAGCCAACAGAGAAAGAAGTAGTCTTAAAACCACCGCCAATTTTTGTCCATGATGTTAAAGACATCAGACCTTTGTCAATTTTACTAGAAACACACGCAAAAGGTAACTATACTAACAAAATTGTTGGTACAGATCAAGTCAGAATACAGTTGAGTTCTGCACAGCTATATAACAAAATTTTGAACCTCTTAAAAATTAGAAACACACAGATGCACTCTTTTCAAAGCAAAACCAACCGAACATTTAAAGTAGTCATTAGAAGTATTCACTTCAGCACCGATATAAAAGACATCAAAAATGAAATTGAATCTCATGGACACAAAGTTGTATATATAGCCAACATCAAGCACGGATTTACTCGTGCTCTACTGCATATGTTTATGGTAGAAAAACAAAACATTAACAACAAAGACATCTTCAACATAGAATTTTTGAACAGAATTAGAGTTAAAATTGAGCCCAAAAATCCAACAAGAGAAATTGTACAGTGTACAAAATGTCAACGTTATGATCACACTAAATCGTATTGTTTCAGAGACGCAAAATGTGTAAAATGTGCTGGCGATCATCTCAGTAAAAAATGCGCATCAACAAAAACGTCAAATGCGTACTTTGTAATGAAAACCACCCAGCCAACTACAAAGGTTGTAAGGAATATAAACAATTATTTGCTCAAAGATTTTCCCCAATTCGCACCAGATATTATCCAACAGAAATACTATAAACAGACAGTCATATGTTTAATCTAATAAATCGTACGCGCAAGCCACAAACCCAATAGACCAAATTATCCCAGATCCAAATACCTGCAACCAGCAACAAGCTAATTCCGACATTGCTGAACTAAAATCTATGATGAAAAATTTAGTAGGTCAAATTAGTATCATACTTAATTTACTAACCACCGTCGTTTCAAAATTAAAATGAATAGTAACTCATTAATAATTGGAATCTGGAATGCCAATGGTCTTGCTCAACATAGGCAAGAATTAGAAATATTTTTAATAGAATACAAAATAGACATTATGTTGATCTCAAAAACCTACTTTACAAACTTAAACTATTTCAAATTAAACAATTATAATTTTTACAATACTAATCATCCGGATGGAACAGCTTACGGTGGAACTGCTATAATAATAAGAAAATACATCAAACATTACCAAAACAAATCTGTCAATGAGCATTTTATACAAACCACATCACTAACAATTCAACAACAAACTGAAAAATTAACAATATCTGCAATTTACTGTCCACCAAAACACAAGATCACCTGTGAACAATTTGAAAATTTTTTCGGAACACATCAGAGAAAATTCATTGCGGGAGGAGACTTTAATGCGAGGCATACCTTTTGGGGATCTCGATTGGCAAATACAAGGGGGAACGAACTTTATAAAACCGTCCAGAAACACGGGCTAACGACCCTATCCACTGGCGAGCCCACATACTGGCCGAGTGATCTGCGCAAATTACCTGATCTATTGGATTTCTGCGTCTTGAAAGGTATAGCAGATGAACATATTTAGGCTAAATTTTGTCTTGATCTAAGTTCTGACCACACACCGATAATAGTCACATACAGTACAAAAATTTTAGAAGACAAGGAAAATGATTTTTCAACTAATAAGTTTACAAACTGGGAATTATTCCGAAACATTATAGAGCAAAATCTTTACTGTAATATACCATTGAAAAACAAACATGACCTAAAAAATGCTGTTGATAAATTTAGTGCAATTTTAATAGACGCAGCTAGAAAAAGTACCCCCCCCCCCACAAATTAAAAAGAAAATCCACACTTGCTCCATAGACTCCAAAGCTCTTATTGCAGAGAAAACGAGGCTAAGAAAAAGATGGTAGCTAACCAGATCTCCACAAGACAAAACGCAATTCAACAGAATGTCTAAATTGATTAAACAACAGATTACAACGTTCAAAAACGACCAATTTCAAGACTTTTTATCTTATTTAACAATATCAGATCATTCGATTTGGAAAGCCACAAAAAACTTAAAACGTCCTGTCATTACTTTATCTCCAATTAGAAAACCGGATAACACTTGGGCATGCAGTGATTTAGAAAAAGCAGAATATTTCTTGACTTACTTCAAGGAAGTTTTCACGCCAAATTCTTCAAAATCCTTGGAACAAGAAGAAAAATTTATTTTTGATTCTTTGAAAGAAGTTCAGTCAAATTTTTTACAAACATCATTATCAAAGTTCCAGAAATTACAAATGAAATCCAAAGAGCAAAATCTGCAAAAGCACCTGGCGTAGACAACATTAATATTAATATATTTAAAAAGCTTCCCTACAAAGCCTACCGTTTCATAACAATCCTGTTTAACGGTATAATAAGACTTAAATCATATCCCGATCAATGAAAAATTGCTAAAATCATAATTATTCCGAAGCCTGGTAAAAATCCTAATGAAGTCCAAAGTTATGGACCAATTAGTTTACTTCCAACGTTATCCAAAATATCTGAAAAGGTTTTAATTAGTAAAATAAAACCATTTATTTATGATAGCAACGTTATCCCTGAGCATCAATTTGGATTTTTAGAAAAACATGGCACACCAAAGCAAATTCATAGAATTGTTGACAATATAAACAAGGCTTACCAAAACAAGAACTACTGTTCAGCTATTTTCCTCGATGATTCTGAATTTGATTATTCATCACACTCTTTAATTACCATAGGTAATATGGACAAAGTATGTAAACATTGCCATGCTCTAAAATTCAAAGGAGAATCAGCAGGTTTATGTTGCGTATCAACATAACAACACAACCGAAACCTTTAAAAACTCTATTAGATGGAACAACGTCTCAATTAAAAATATTACTGAAAAAAATTTGCAAATTTAATTCATGTTTTCAGATGACGTCATTTGGTGCTACGAAAGTATTTGAAAATGAAGATGGTCGAAATTTCGAATCAACATTTAAGATACAAGGTCAAGTTTACCATCAAATCGGTTCATTGTTTCCCATGCCTGATGTGAATCCGAAATTCTTACAGATTTATTTTATGAGCGATGATGAACGACAAACAAACATGCGATGCGAATTTAATCACATACAGCTTATGAAGGAAAGAGATATTGTGAACTCTTTGGAAATATTTTTTAAAAACCATAACCAGTCGTTGCATTTGTTTAAGACTCTTTCAAGTAGACTAAAAAACGATGATTACGCTATTATTATTAGAGCAGACAAAGTGCCGGTTGGAGAACATGTTGGCTCATATAATGCTCCAACAGTCAATAAAGTCGCGATCGTAATAGCTGGTGATCTATGTGCGGGGCGTGATATACGTATACAACGGAGAGATAATACCATGCAGATAATACAGGACAGTCATCGTTCTTATGATGCTTTGCAGTATCCATTGATATTTTGGAAAGGTAAAGATGGGTACCATTTAAATATTAAACAAAAGGGATCCAAATACAAGTAAAAATCTTATTTTTATAGAAAAATTTCAAATAATAATAATTAAAATAATTTTAATATATTTTATTCCAGGTGCAGAACTTGCCAAAAAAATAAGGGCCATGGACTTTTACTGCTACCGATTAATGATTCGAGCTAATGAAGAAAATAATATTCTTAAATGCAGGCAGTTATTCCATCAGTTCGTGGTCGACATGTATGTGAAAATTGACAGTGAGATATTGATATTCATAAAGTTTAATCAAGCAAAACTCCGCGCTGAGAAATATATACATTTGCGTGATGCAGTACTTGGTAATGTAGATGCAATGAATGATATTAGTCATATCGGTACTGCATATATTCTTCCATCTTCTTATATTGGAAGTCCGCGACATATGCAGGAGTACATTCAAGATGCTATGGCTTATGTTCGCGCATATGGCAGACCTGATCTGTTCATTACCTTTACGTGCAATCCCAAATGGGATGAAATAAAAAGATTGCTGATGCCGGGACAAACAACGATGGATAGGCATGATATAACTGCACGAGTTTTTAAACAGAAGTTGAAATCATTGATGAATTTGATAACGCATCATTCTGTTTTTGGTGAAACACGCTGTTGGTTATACTCAGTAGAATGGCAGAAAAGAGGTTTACCCCATGCACATATTTTGTTGTGGTTAATTGATAAGATACGTTCTGTAGAGATTGATAATATTATCTCAGTAGAATTTCCTGATAAAAATGTTGATGAGGAATTGTTCGATATTATAACTACTAACATGATACATGGTCCATGCGGTACTCTCACCATTATGTAACCATGCATGGTGATTGGAAAATGTACAAAACATTTTCCAAAATCATTTCAAAACGATACTATCACCGACATTAATGGTTACCCCGCTTATCGGCGACGTGACGTTGACAATGGTGGACAATGTTTTGAATTGCGACTGTCGAATGGCGGGGTAATAGATGTTGATAATCGATGGGTAGTTCCTTTTTCGCCTTTGCTATGCAAAACCTATGAAGCACATATAAATGTCGAACTGTGCAGCTCGGTGAAGTCGATAAAATACATATGCAAATATGTTCATAAAGGGAGCGACAAAGCGATATTTGGAATTAAAAGTATTAATGAGAATGATGAAATATATAGATAGCAATGAAGTTATCTGGCGTATTTTTGGTTTTCCCATACACGAAAAGAATCCATCTGTGGTACATTTGGCTGTGCATTTGGAGAACGGTCGCGGGTATACTTTACAGAAAACTACTCTAAATGCATTTTTTAAACTTTGTAATAGATCAGATATTGCTCTAAGATTTGCTAGAACATTATTATATACAGATACATCTAAATATTTTACATGGGATAAAAAATTAAAAGATTGGGTACCTAGAAAACGAGGTATTCTTGTTTCAGGATTTAAAGGCATATATGTGACAAACAACTTGGGTAGATTGTATACTGTTCATCCTAAGCAACGAGAATGCTTTTATTTACGTTTGTTGTTGATTAATGTTATAGGACCAACATCATTCCAAAATTTGAGGACAGTCAATGGAATTTTATATGAAACTTTTTATGATGCGTGCCGTGAGTTGCACTTATTGAAGAATGATAATCAATGGGACATGACTCTTGCAGATGCAGCACTGATTTCATCTGCACATCAAATTCGACAATTATTCGCAATAATATTAACAACATGTTTTCCATCAGATGCATCTGCACTGTGGAATACACATAAAGACTCAATGAGTGAGGATAATTTGCATCGGTATAAAATTAATAATCAAGATAATAATCATGAATTTTCAGAACAAATATATAACGAAGCCTTAATAATGATTGAAGATATTTGTATCCAAATTTCGAACATGTCGCTAATTCAATTTGGCATGTCAGCACCGAGCCGAGCAGCAGTAGATATCATGAACAGCGATGTTCAACGTGAACACCAGTTTGATAAAACTGCTTCAGCTACTTTTGTTGCTAATAATGAAATATTGCTTACTGCCGAGCAACAAAGTGTATATGATCAAATCAATACGTCAATTGAGGCACAACAGGGCGGATTCTTTTTTTTGGACGCACCCGGAGGCACTGGCAAAACATTAACTATTTCACTGATTCTTGCGCGTGTGCGGTTGCGAAATAATATTGCGTTGGCAATAGCTTTATCAGGAATTGCAGCGACATTACTTGAAGGAAGACGAACTGCGCATTCGGCATTTAAGTTAACTTTAAATGTTCATGTTAACCCAGAAGCAATGTGCAACATAAAGAAGAAATCGGGAATGGCGAAAGTTTTGCAAAAATGTAAAATAATCATCTGGGATGAATGTACTATGGCGCACAAGCATTTGCTTGAAGCTCTTGATAGGTCGCTGAAAGATATCAAAAATAATAATTGTCTTTTTGGTGGCTGTCTATTGCTACTGTCTGGCGATTTCAGACAGACATTGCCCATTATTCCACGAGCGACGCGCGCTGATGGAATAAATGCCTGCTTAAAAAAGTCTTATCTTTGGCGCCAGGTAAAGAAATGATATCTTAGTATTAACATTCGTGTTCAATGTCTAAATGATGCACTGGGGTCGAAATTTTTACAATAATTATTGGATATTGGTAATGGCAGAATTAATTTTTATGAAAATACAGAGTACATTCAATTTTCTGATAATTTTTGTAATATGGTTGATAGCAAAGCCAAACTAATAGAAAATATTTTTCCAAATTTAAAGCACAATCATAAAGATTATGAGTGGCTACAAGAACGATCAATTTTAGCAGCAACGAATTTGGATGTAGACGAAATGAATTTAAAAATACAACAGATACTGCCAGGATATGAATTCACATTTAAATTAGTTGATACTGTTATTTATCCTGATGAAATCGTCAATTATCCAGTCGAATTTTTAAATTCTCTTGATTTACCAGGAATGCCGCCGCACAAATTACTATTGAAAGTTGGTTCTCCAATTATATTACTAAGAGATTTAAATGCCCCAAAATTATGCAATGGCACAAGATTAGCAATAACAAAAATTATGGGAAACATTATAGAGGCAATTATTCTGGGCGTAAAATTCAAAGATGATGCTGTTCTTTTGCCTAGAATACCACCTTCGGAATCAGTAATAACTTTTAAAAGACTGCAGCCATAAACAAGTCACAAGGGCAGACAATGAACTTTTGCGGTATAAATTTAGAAAATCCGTGCTTTAATCACGGACAGCTATATGTTGCTTGCTCAAGAGTCAGAAACCCAAATAATTTATATATTTATACACCTAATAATCTCACCAAGAATATTGTATATCCTTTGGCATTACAATAAATTCTACTACATTAAAAGTTTAAAATAAAAAAAGAATTATATACAATATTAATTAAGATTAATTATACAATTAATATTAATTATAATAACATTAATTATTGGAATTGCATTCCTGAATATAATATTGTTAAATTGTTCATTTGAAAATGAATATAACTATTGTATTAATTAAATTTATTTATGGATAATTATAAAAAAAAGTTGAATGATATTGAATACTTTTTTAATATAGACATATGTGTACAGGACAACGTCTGTCGGGTCAGCTAGTATATATATATATATATATATTATATATATATATATATTATAATATTGTATGTCTGTCATTTGAATATAACAGTCAAGAGTGTCTATCCCGATGTGTGTGTGCTCTATGGTGTGTCATATGCATGGTGTCTGATCCTTACGGAACAGAAGTTTGTTTCTATGTGAATCGGTGTGCCTGGCGGTAACTTGTTAAGTGTTGTACAATTCGGCGTGTTGTTAACTTGGTGATTGATTATTAAATATATTTGTGAAGAAGTAATAAGGCGTTTTATTAATTAAATAATACTAGAGTAAATCTAGATTAAAGCTCAGAAGTGGGATTTTATCGGAACGTTGAGGATTTCATTGGAGAAAATTTTTGGTGTGGATTATTGAGATAGGCGATTTCAATAATCTTTTTGAGTGCCAGTGTTATAAATCAGGCGGATTATAATTACGGGGTGCATTATAAAGCAAGGTGTGCTTCGCTATCGTACAAGTGCAGGTATTATTTTGTAAGTTTTGTGTGTTTGGTGTTGTTGTGTCGAAGTGAGGTTAACACGTGGTTAACTAAAATAAGAACAAAGTGGAAGAAAATATCAAAAGCAAGGCGTGATATTGACGTTGGCGAGTCGCGGAGCTGTTATATTTGTATCTAAACACTTGAGATTGCGTAAATAAATTAAGATTTGGTGAGATGGCTACCGGAGGTGATGCTGAGAGCTTGGTGCCCGAAGCCTTAAGAGTGCTATCGTTAACAGATTTGATTAATCTTATTAGGGCGACAACCGGTTATAAAAACGAGAGCATCTTGAGCAGAGAATTGTTAGCGACGATACCGGTTTTCGGCGGATCGTCTGAGCAATGCATCGAGGCATGGTTTGAACGCGTTGAGGCGGTGCGTGACGCATACGAGGTGGCTAAGAAAAAGATGGTGGTGCTGATGATATTGAAGCTTTCGGGGCGGGCGAGACAATTATATGACAGCAAAGCAGAGTATGCAATCTATTTATACGATGAGCTTAAGGGGGCGCTAACAGCATACTTCCAGGAGAAGATGGCGCTAGGGAATAGGTTGGGTTTTATGGAGTCTGACCTGCTAGCCTATATGATAAACGGCTTCGACAACCCGCCACTTCAGGCCCAAGCCAAAATGAACCAATTCAAAGATTTAGCGACCCTGCTAAGTGTGATAAACAAGCTGACAGCAGAGGAACGCGGATTCAATATGATACCGCCCAAGAGGGTACAGTCAACAGGGTTCCCTAGAGTGGAACCACAAGGCGCATATTCCCCGGTGGGGTAATTTAATTGTGGTGGAGTAAGACATGGCATCCGGGTGTGTGAAACCAAAAAATGATAAAGTGGCGTGCTACAATTTTGGCTCAATGGAGCATCAGCAGAGGTTTTGCAAAAATGTCCGCAGTACGGCGCAGGTGGTGCCTAATAGCACTACACTATTATTAAACCCCATAACGGCCTACAAGGTAAAAACTAAGGTTTTTGACTTGGGTTTGAGAGTATGGTAGCCTCGGGTTCAGCAATATCGATTATCAAGCGATCTTGTGTGCCTAATGGAACACCAGTGGAGGTATGGAGCACAAGAGCCGGGTTCGAGGGCATTAACCATGCGAGGTTAGATGTTGAAGGTATTGCGAAACTACGGTTGACGTTTCCGGAGCATGGGGCAGAAGTGCCACTAACTTTGTATGTAGTCCCAGAAAATACCATGAATGCATCATGTCTATTGGAGCGAGATATGATTCAACACGATGATTTTGAAGTGACCATTGGAAGGGGAGTGCATATAGTTAACAAAAATGCAAGGGTTAACGAAATATTTTCGACTGACGATATTATTACAGATGGAGTGAAAATGGCTATGGAGTGGTAGCGACGGTAGACCTGGTAAGAAAGGAATATCTGGAGAGTGAAAAACCGGAAGAACCAGAGACTGCATTCGAAATGCATGGCTATGGAGTGGTAGCGATAGTAGGAACCCTGGTAAGGAAGAAATATTTGGATAGTAAAAAACCGGAAGAACCAGAGACTGCATTCGAAATGTCAATTGTGCTGAAGCCGAATGTCTCACCATTTTATGTAGTCCCTAGGATCCTCCTATGAACGAGGTCAGATAGTGATAGTGCATATAGTTAAAAGAAGACGGTAAATTAAGATATGTAAGTGACATTTTTCGTCGTTTTATAGTGAACTTTGAGGTTATAGTATATATTGACGATTTAATAATTGCCACAGAAATAATTGAGGAGAGTATTGAAGTGTTGCGTAGGGTGTTAGAGGTGATTCGAAGAAATAAGCTAGAATTAAAATTAAATAAGTGTATAAAGACAATAAGTGATGGTGATAATAAAGTTAGTAGAAAAGATAAGCGAATGAAATATGTTTTTATGATTTATGTTGTAAGCTTTCAGTTTAGCTTGTAGAAATATTCTCTTATAGAATATACATTCTCGCCGCCTGTCCTTAGAAATTATGTTTGAATTACACACACCTTTGCACTAATTGAAATTATTAGTTTCCATGAATCTATTGGGGAAACAGTGTACGGTTCTGCCAGAGTACGGTAGTGACAGTCATTATAACAGCAAAACTATACTGGTTTTTGAGGTAGGATCCAAAGGGAGATGAAGTATGTTTGTTCGAACAAGTTTCCATTATTGCATTGAATCAGCGCCTCACATTAACACGATCTGTAGACCGAATTGCTTCTGAAAAGTCAGAAGATCTAACTTAACTAGATAAAATACGAAAGAGGAAGGAAAGAAAAAACTTAATTCAAGAATTAAAATTTCACAATTGTTCTTTTCTAACTTTGTTAGAAAAATTATGTTTTGTTATATATTGTTATTAATATTGAATCCTGCTCAGTACAAAAAAATATTTTTGAAGAAGTTTCTTTGCTGTGATGACTTTATTTTAGTATTTTTTCAAGAAAACGTACAATACAAAGTAAATTATTTAAAAAGAATAAATTGAAATTTTGGGTTTTATGTTTGATCTTTTAAAAATTAATCATGTAATTTTTGATTTAAAATGATTTATATTCTGTTGTAAATTTTTTTAGATTAAATTGATTTACATATTTGACGTTTAGTTTTACAATGATATAGCTGTACACCTAATTCTCAAGAAACAATAAGACTTCTGGCATGAAAACACAAAAACGAACTAGAAAATTATACTAACCTATTAGTGCACAAATTATTAGAAACTGGACA